GTCCCGAGCCTCGCTGCCGGCGCCCTCGGTGCGCCCCGCTTTGTGCTCCCCGCAGCCGTAGCGTGCACCTGGTGTAAGCAAAGCGGTCAGCTGATGGGCCACGCACCGATTGGTTGCTCCACTGAATCCTCCCCTTCGGTCCGACCCCCTTCCCGACCTCCCCCTCCCGCCTCCTGCCTCCCAACCCGCCCTCAGCTCAGCCGCGTGCTGGGGCACCGTGTAGCCCGCCCAACAAAGGCACAGCGCGGAGGGCCTCTGGTGCTGCAGGGAGCCACGGCGCTGCTTTTTGTCCAGGAGGCAAGGTTAGAAAGGCAAGGTTAGAGAGGGAAGGAATACTCCCATTTCTTAGCAAAAAACCCAAAGGCAACAATAAAAATAATAGAGTAGTACTAAATAAACATACGTATATAAGGGCCGACTAGGCACAATGGAGGCTACATAAATCTCTGTGCAGGGCAGAGCTCAGTTTCAGGGCTGAGAAACAGACAAAATTCAACGCGAGATAAACACATTTCAGTATGAGAGCTGACCTTTGGCTTTAAAATAAATGGCGAATCCTTGGGCTGTGTGTACATTTCCAGGAGGGTGTACACGCGTGGTGGTGGAAAGGCACCCTTGCCGCGGGGAGTAGTACTGGGACACTTAACTGATTGGCAAAGCCACTTATGACTTGAAGAGGCTTTCAGAAAACTTTTCTGAAACTTCAAAATTACAGCTTTCCGATTTGTTAGGTGTTAAAGTTGTGCTAGAATATGTGGAGTAATTGAGAATGCAATCGGTGTACAGGGGAGAGTTTCTGAGAGCAATGGCAGAAGGAAGGGATATAAATAGGTCTTTGGAAACAGCATGAACCTTAGTCTTAACTTCAAAGTTGCAGCCCAACCTAGTGCTCAAGAAAAGCCCTTGATACGCACTATTAGAGGAGTCAGCTTTAAGATAGCACGTCATTAGCCTATCAGTACTGAATAACTTTAGGTTAGAGAATATTACTGCATTTCCTTACAATATCAGACCTTTTAGAACTTCTGGGGCAATTTGAAAAATACATTATTATAGAATCAACTTTTGAATGTTTTGAAACCAGGGGAAAAATGCAATGGCAATAATCTTGATGATTAATCAACAATAATTCTTGATTTCTTATAATATATTTTGATGTCTTACATAGATATCTGATACATGTTTGGTGTCCCTCAGTGTTTGTCTACTTCATGTTATTCTGAAACTGTCTTCTAGATACCAGTGGGTCACTGAGTGTACCTCAGAAGGCTCAAGGGAAAGGGGCCATTAGGATTCAGTTTAAAAGGTAGGTGCAGAGTAGAGGGACAGCTAGACAAAAAGGCCCATGTTGCCTTTATGTGAATAAGAAGAACTTTCAAAGCAGGTTGAGTCTAGACTCTTTTCCAAGTTTCAAAATATGCTTTTGTCTCTCACCTTTTCCTGCAAAGTGTGTGTAGCATAAAATTTGTGAAAGATGGTGGATCGCTGGTGGAAATACAGAACCTAAATCTTAGCATTCAAGAATTTAGGGAGTCTTCTTTGTTTTCTAGCCTATCTTCCTGGGAATGGAAGAAAGATAATATTTTACATGTGGGGTGGAGTTTTATGGAGACAGGTCTTGGGTTGGGAGGTAGTTGAAGCAATGAATAGTGTTGAGGAGTTACTCCTAGGAGGTAGAATCTATAGCAGCCTCCAGGTTTTGAAAGAGATTTCAAGGGAATGGTGAGTCAGGCACCAATGCATAAGCTTTGAAACCAGGCCACCACTGCTTTAAATTCCAACACTGCTATTTATGAGGTGTGTCCCTGTGGGTAAGTCACTTTGCCTCTTTAAACCTTAGTTTCCTTGGATCTAAAGTGGGAAAAATAATAGTACCAATCCCAATGGATTGTGCTGGTTAAGTGATTGTAAGTAAAACCCTTAGGGCAGCAGTTGGTATATAGTAAGCATTTGTCAAATGTAAGTTAAGTGCTAGACATTGTCAGCCAGGTTTTGAAGACTAACACAAGATATCAGGTCAGGTAGGTGTGATGATGATTCTTTAAGTTATTTGTGTGACAGAATATCTTAAAGGCACTAACAGATCCTTTCCAAAGAAGGAAAAGGACTGTGTCTCCCTACTGTTCAGTTCATTTCCTTTTAAATCAGCATATCATGTATTTAAACTAACTTTCCTCTTCCCCAAAGCAAGACTAATAAAGGAAGCTCTGCCTATTTCTACTTGATCACTGCATTTATGTGTTTGTGTCAGAGATGGGTAAAGGGGCTTGGACTGGAGGGTGGTTATTAATCTGTTGGACTAGATTGATATGGGGCAGGAGGGGACAAATTAGGCATAACAATGATAAGAGTCTGAAATTTATCCAGTTACTGGAGTTTTGATGAATTGCCTAAATGATCAGTTGGTCCAAATTTTAAGAAATGTCATTTTCAACTTTGCAAAGAAGTTTTGGGAATATTCTATGAACTTCCACTTAAAAGCCCTTTGTTACTTGGGTGAATGAAGAAGACACCCCCAATAAACCAGCATAACAAAACCAGGTTAAATTGTTTCTTGGTTAAAATCCTGAAATATATCTGAATTATTCCAGTCCTGAGATTCTGAATCTAATAACTAGCAAAAAGGTGTGGGGTTATCTTAAAATTTATTTCTTGAGGTTATTATACATTGGAGTCTTTGAAGAATGAGATTTGGAGAAAACAGTACAAGAATTTCCAGAAGAGCCAGGACTTACTGTTGATATTAAGAGGAGTTCTTGCCGCTAGAGTTGGCTGTGTTGAGAACTGCAAACCCCTCTGGATTTCCCCACAGTCCCCTTGAGGTTCTTTAGCTTTGGTTTGAAGGAGCATTATAATTGGTATTAACTTAGTTGTACTGATCTGTGTAGTAAATGAGAGGAAAAAAGAAAGATGAAACTTTAGAGAATGATCATATTTGAATAATCTTTAGAATAACACTATTTTGAGAACAAAATTATAATTTGCCATTTAAAACTACAACTTTTAAAAGTTGAAAATATGTCTCCCTCTAATTGAAATATTAATAGAACACTGGCAGTCAGTATTCCTTCCAGTGTCTTAACTAATAATTCTAGCTTTTAAACAACCACCACCAAACTCAGAGGTTGATGATTATGTGATTTATAATGTGACTTTGGTGATCTCATGACAAACATGCCATTTCATTAAAAATTTTAGACAATTGAGTGGGTTTACTACATATACATAGTCACTATTCTTCCAGTTTTGTATAGCATATGA